CATCACTTCTTCCAGGTTCTGAAGGTGTTCTTCATCCGTCGGTCCAGAAATCAAAATGTTATCAAGAAGGATGCCAGTGTATGGAATTCCGTTGAGTAAACTTTCCATCGTTCTTTGGAAAATTCCAGGCGCAGATGATACACCATATGGCAGACGGTTGTACCGGTACAAACCACGATGCGTGTTTATCGTTACCACGTCCTTCGAGGCGTCGTCCAGGACCATCTGTTCGTACGCGTGGCTTAAATCGAGCTCAGTGAATGTTTTCCCTCCTGCCAGTTTATTGTGAACTTCTTCGATCTTAGGTAAAGGGTAGGCATCTAAACGGGAAACTTTGTTCACAGTCCTTTTGTAGTCCCCGCACAATCGAACACTTCCGTCAGGTTTCATGATTGGTACCACTGGCGTTGCCCAATCTGAATACTGTACGGTTTCAATTGTTCCTTGTCTTTCGAGCGTTTCGAGTTCCTTTTCAATCTTAGGTTTTATCGTGTATGGTACCGACTGAGCTTTACAAAAATCGGTTTCGTTGACGGGTCGACGTAAATCTTGGCAGTCACGCCATTCAATTTGCCTAATTCGTCTGTAAACAAGTCGTCGTACTTGTTTAAAACCTCTTCTAAGTTAGGCTTGGCTAGTCGTTTGATGCTTGTCCAATTTAAGCAAATGTTTTCAAGCCAATTTCGACCAATCAAATTAGGACCATTGCCTTTCAGCACCAATAATGGTAACCGACTAACTTGGTTATTGTATTCGACCACCACTTCAGTAATTCCCTTCGGAGATATTTTCTCACCAGTGTAGGTACGTAAGGAAATTTCAGTTTGTTTTAAGTCGAGATTTCCTTTACCGCGACTAATTTCTTGCAATGTTTTCTCATTAACCACCGAGAACGATGCTCCCGTATCAATCTCCATGTTGATATCAATACCATTCACTGTCATTTTTTCGCGATACGGCGGTGTTTTCTCTTTGTCTTTGAAGCTGAATAAATTATACGCTAGCTCTTCGTCGCTTTGATGCTGTTCAACTTTATTCATTTCCGAATCCCGTCCTTTTTTCCCCCGAAAGTTTTTCCCTTGCTTTAGTCGTTTCTCGCTTGAAACCTTCTTAGAACTTCGGCACACTTTCGCTATGTGTCCAATTTTACCGCATTGATGGCACTTTTCAGTTCTAAAACGGCACTTTGTATGGTCGTGTTTACCACCACAACGATAACATTCTTTGTATTCGTCGCTGTGTCTACCGCCGTGTAATTTATTCATCGAGTGTTTATTTGGCATTTCTCCCTTCAAGTCACGAACATCTTTAGCGGCTGTTTCCATCCCGTGTGCAATTTCTAAAGCTCGTTTTAAATCTAATGTCGGTTCAGCCAGTAAACGTCTCTGTATTCGATCTTCGTTGACGCCACAGACTAATCGATCTCTCAACATTTCATCTAATAAACTACCGAACTCACAATGTTCAGACAATGCCCGAAGTTCGGCCATAAAAGTCGAGATTGATTCGTCGTTTCTTCTGACCCGAGTATTAAATTTATAACGTTGTACAATTACTGATGGCTTCGGAACATAATGGTTTTTTATAGCTTCAGATAATTCTTCATATGACAATTTGTTCGGAACCTCTGGCCGTATTAAACCTCGCAGTAGTTTATAGGTTTTCGCACCTATAACACTCAGGAAAATCGAGCGTTTCTTATCTTTGTCTTCGATATCATTCGCTTCGAAATAGTGATCCATTCGCTCCACATACTGTGTCCATTCTTCACTCTCGTCGTATTCATCTATTCGACCGTACGTAGCCATGTTACGCCTTAATTTTTTACCTCGTCGCCAATATAATATACTCAGTCTCGGGTAGTTTAATCAGCACTTTATTGACATACGTATGCTATTTATACAAACTGTTATGAATATATTACAATGACTAATTAGGACAACTGATTAACATATATTACACAATCTTGACTATACTACAGTGACGCGCTTTCCGGAGGGGTTGTGGGTCAAAAAAATATTTTCAACAATATTAATGCTGATTTTTTTTTCTGTGTTGGTGTTGTGTACTCAGGTAAATATGAAGTTTGTGATGTTACTCTGAGTGCATATCCACACCGGGCGAGCTTGAAAATTATGCCCGGCCACAGTGGGAATCGAACCTACGACCTTTGCAATACTAGCCCAATGCTCTGCCAACTGAGCTACGCGGTCAGGACGGTTCGAGTAAGTGATATTTCGGAACAGAATCTAGTTCCTTCGATACCAAGAAAAAAATCATATTACAAGATTACATTGGTATCGAAGGAACTAGATTCTGTTCCGAAATATCACTTACTCGAACCGTCCTGACCGCGTAGCTCAGTTGGAAGAGCATCGGGCTAGTATTCCAAAGGTCGTAGGTTCGATTCCCACCGTGGCCGGGCATAATTTTCAAGCTCGCCCGGTGTGGATATGCACTCAGAGTAACATCACAAACTTAATATTAATGCTGGTTTCCAAAAGGTGTGTGTACTACTATGATAGAATAAACCCAATTAATTACCTATGATGTATAGATATGAATTTGTCTACTAATATTAATAAGTACTATAAATTAATAAAGAAATCTAAGAAATTACTACAATAATTTAAGCATGATTATTGCTAAATGAAAAGGTCGAGGAAGAAAGCTTTTCACAAAACGAAATATAAGACGCCGAAGTTCTTATGTCTTCCGGAATTTGATTCCAGACATGAGCCCCATTGTAACTGAAACTTTTTTTTAGATATTCTGTTCTAGGCTTGAGAAGGCAAAGCCTAGTTGATGACCCTTTCAAATCATAATCATACATTGTATTTGAATTTTGAAAAAAAGTTCCTCAGTCTTTGGGGAGCTAAGTAACTTTTTACAAAATTCAAACACAATGTATGATTATGGTTTGAGAGGGTCATCAATTTTATATAATATTGTGGCTTAAAAAGCGAAATATTAGCTTCAAAGTAAACTAATTTGCTGTTTGAGCAACCACTTCTGAATGTAAACTGTAAACACAACACAAACCCGAGAAACTTGTATTAAAATTGCGCCGTGATGAATTTTCCAATTCGCCCAAACTTCGAAACGTTCATACTCTAACTTGGCTATACTTTTCTTCATGACAATGAGAGCTTAATCTTTTAGAAGTTTTCGTCGAAGTCATGGCATATAGGAAGTATCAAGAGCAACCGATTGATTGTTTGTCATTGTTAACAAAAATTTAAATTTCGCCTACTGCATTGCTTTACCACTTTATATACACCGATTGTTTGCTGAACATGCGAGAAGATGATCACAATATTATTCTACGTACACATCGTGAAGTTCAACGCTATAGGTTCCAAAATATATCCACGCAAGTAAACAAATTTCAAGTTTCAACCCAAATAATATATTCCAATGCGTGTGCAAGGGCTTTCCCCAGTGGCTATAATCTCTCAAAAAGGCGGCTTCCAATTGGCTCTAACTTTTTTGAACACTGCCAGATGATTGGCTCCTAAAACAAAGGGAATTGAATATGCAGCTCGGGTAAGCAGACGGTAGTATTTCGTGGCTATTAGTAAAACCAGGAACACCGGAACAACGGAACACGGAACACAGGAACAGCATCATTCCGGAACACGGAACACCGGAACACTGAAAATTCTTAATTTGTTAAAAATTCGGAAAAAAATTACCGGGGGGTGTGGAATTATAATATTGCTGGAAAAATTATTGGAATATTGCGTAAAACATATTTTTTTAATAATATTCTGACTTGCCGATTGCTGCTATAAATTACTGATTAAAACTAATCAGTCCCAAATTAATAAATATTTGCCCGAAAAGAAGAAATCAAACCTAGAATTGTTAGTTGCTGAAAATAAATGGCTATCTTTGTTTGTTGTTGAAAACATGACCTTTGGCCGGCTTTCGATCAATATTTAAAATAGTGTATTAAACAACAGTTGATTGGCTTCCTTGTTTTTACAAACTTACTTATGAAGTTGAAAGTCTCGTTCAAAGTTTTCACTTTACTTTAGTATCACTTACAATTCTTTAATATACGTAATAGCAACTTGATCGTTTCTGACACAACATATAAGCAGCGATGGTAGGGAAACTTTTAGCGTGATAATATTAACCTTTCGCCGTTTCGCCTTTCGGTCAATCAAAATGACAAAAATAAAAACAAATGTAGGCCTTGAATGACTCTCAATTCAGTAGGGAATTTTGTGCACTTGGAAATTTAGTTAGTACGAGTAGTGTTGTAGCAATGACTCTATCCGAGTTTTCGCTTGTCCTGAGATTTATTGTAGGCCGGCTAGAATGGTATAACAAACATATATATAAGGTCACACGCGACGGGGTATAAATACAATAAGTTGAAGTTGCAACTTGCATTTGAAAAGTAGATGTGCAATTTTCAACTTCCGCCCATTGAGTATATAAGTATGGAAAAAAAAATTTAAAAATAATGAAGATTATTAATTTTAGCATTCTGTGATGAGGGCCGAGATATTAATATTCGTTCTATTTATACAAATTATCGGAATAATCTTTCGTGCTATATATATATTAGTACCTCGATATATGCCGACCGCGGTCGCGTGTGACCTTTTATAAATATATTGTAGGTCGGCTAGTATGGCGTAACATACTATGATTATGAATCTCAGGGCAAGCGAAAACGCGGAGAGAGACTAGAGTCCGTAGGATATTTACTTGTACTAAGTCTCGAAGTGTAAAAAGTTCCCTAACGTATCTGAGTTACTACCCGCATAGTGTGTCAAGAAGTTACTTCAAAGACACAATTTTGGCAGTTTTTACATGTGCTAAAAACAGAAAAGATATATAGATCACCTTAATCGGATAGCTTTGGAGTGTACTTCCAATATTCTCATGGGACAAGCTGCAGAGCCACATGTGCTTGTGAATGTTGTTTCCAACACAGGCTACAGCCTAGAAACAAACATTTCCTCTTCGTTCCCCCACAAGTCAACCTTATTTCTTTCTGACAACTCAAAACGACCAGGAAATAGTTTTAGCCATTCCCATTTACCTTCACTAAATTTTCCGGCATCAAACAGGCGGGAAATTCTCACAAGTGCACTGGCGTACAAATGAGTGGAAGCAGACAAATGTTGATATGCACTGCCATGCATCTTCATTAGTGCATAAAAGATTGTTAAAAAGTTGTCAATTGGACATGTGTTAGCTAGGATAACATTCTTGCCTTCAGCATTTACTGTCCCACCCCAGGGAGAAACATTTAACAATGGAACCTCATCAGTATCTTTCTTGCCAACAGGTTGACCCAATGACAGATGGACATTCTGAGCCACTTGCATGCCCTTTCTTGTTCTCAGTTTGGCTGAACGAGGAATAAAAATGTTGCTTTATATCCTCAACCTTTGCAGCTTTTGAATACCCTTTCCTGCTACGCTCTTTCTTTGTCAAATTTAAATTCTTGATTAGATAAAGATCTAACTGGGAGACATAAAGATCACCGAGCTCGCTTTTTCTAATAAGTGTTTCCCACTCAATATCGTCGTATAGTTTTGCCTTTTCTGATGCTCATGCACTTGCATTGGTTGTTTTTGAAACAAATGCTTTCACTTTGGCATTGTATCTGTGCTTTATTTCCTTCACCACTGAACTCCTTAAATCTTCACCAGAACAGCTTGCAACAAAATCATCTACTTTTGACAGCATCTTTGCAAGAGTGTCATTGGTGTCTACAACTGTACAAACAGTGTCTGACTCACTTGAGATACTGTCCTCATGCTTCAGCTTCAATTCTGGTTGGCCACAAGAGGAAACAAGTTTATCTAGTTGTTTTCTTAGGTTGAAGTCATCTCTTTCCCTGGTGCATGGATCCATAACCTGTTTCTTGGTCAAACCAAAACTCTCTGTGATATTTCCCATATTGAAATGGCTTGTGGTGACAAATAGTGAAATTGTGTAACTGAGGAGTAAAAAGGTACTGGTGGCTGAACTCGATGAACAGTTGAACAGTGGGGGCATCTGTCTTACGCCCAATTGTAGCATGATAATAAGACTTATTAGTCCTACAGCCCTCTCTGTGCCCTTCAAAACCATTGTCATAAACGAAGTAATGCTCCTGAAAAAATTTACTTTTGAAAAGCTGTAGAAAACTATTATATATTTTAATATAGCCATGGAGTCAAAAGACAAAGATCTCTCATTTTCCTCAGACCTAGCCCCACCCAAAGCCAAACCCCAATACCAGACTTTTTATTAAAAACACATATTTTATACAAAATACGTTTTCAATTTCAAGTTCCAATCTATTTTGCGAATTTACGATTTTAGTAGTATCTCTGTGCGAGTCAGTTTAATACCTGTGTCTGACTCTGATTAAAAGACATACATGATTACATGAAGCCGTCCAGTTCTTATATACCATTCCAAATGATGCAAAGCCAAAGGCACCGCAATTGAATTTGCGGCTACATGGCCCACCATTCTATAATCTTCTATAGACGTCTATAGAAGATATTAAACGACATACTTTTGTTGAAAGATGACTAACATCGCGGATTGCAAGTCCAGAATAAAATAAAGCTTGGCCCTGTTTTCCAACAATGAACAATCTCGCCAACAATGATTTAATATTTTCCATTGCGCTCTGCAGGAATTTTTTTCCTCGAATTTGATCATGCAGGAATTTTTAAGTTAATTTGCCTTGCACGAATTTTTATTTTGTCCCCCCCCCTCACTTTTCTAATGGTCCGCCCCTAATTTTTTTCGAGAATTTTTAACAAATTAAGAATTTTTAGTGTTCCGGTGTCACAGGAGATTCGCCCCCCCCCAGGAGATTCGCCCCCCTCTCAAAAGGGGGGCGATATTC